TACAAGGTAAGTAAATGTTAAATGGTTTTTAACTTACATGCAACATTTCTGAGCTCACCATAATAACCAAAAAGTGGACACAGCCTGAATGTCTATGGATGAATAACCAAGGAGTGCTCTAGTCTCAGGATGAAGACTACAAAAAAAGGAATTATATGCTGACAGATGCTGCAATGTGAATAAGTCTTAGACATTATGAAGAATGAAAGAAAGCACAAAGAAAGAGAACCAGGGATCGTAGGGAACATCCAGGAGAATAAAAAGAGGCGTGTTCTAGCTCCTTTCTGTTTGCTGTGATAAAACGCTCTAACCAAAAGCAACTCAGGGAAGGAAAGTGGTTAGTTATTTCAGCTTACACATTCAGGTCACAGTGCATCACTAAGAGAAGTCAGAGCAGAAACTCAAGGCAGGATCTTGAATGCAGGCCTGCTTACTGACCAAGGAACTCACTCAGAGTCAAGGAAGTAAAGCAGCAACCATGGAGGCCACTGCTTGCTGACTCACAGGCCAGCTCATGCTCAGGTGACCTTCACAGGAGCACCTACCCACCCAGGGGATGGTGCTGCCCACAGTGGGCTGGGCCCTCCTGCATCGATCAAGACAATCCTCCACAGACATGCTTGCACGGGGATCAATCTGATTGGGGAAATTCTTCAATGGAGATTCCCTTGTCAGATGACTCTAGGCCATGTTCAGTTGACAGAGAAAGCTAGCTAGGACAAGAAGAAATCATTGCTTAAGGTGAGTGAGAATGGGGACTGGAGAGGTGACAGCCATGTCTCTTTCTTCTTGGGTGATAAAACTATTCTAAAACTGTGACAGTTCATAGCTCTCGGAGTAAATTGCAGACTGCTGAACTATACCCTTGAGAATAAAATTTGGCTCAGGCTATAAGTATGTCTTAGTTGGGGTTTCTATTGCTGTGAAGAGACATCGTGACCATGGCAGCTCTTATAAGGGAAAACATTTAACTGGAACTGGGTTACAGTTTCAAAGGTTTAGTCCATTATCATCATGATGGTGCATGGAGCTGAGAGTTCTACATCTTGATCCACAGGCAGTAGAAGCAACTGTGTCCCACACTGGGTGTAGCTTGGGCAAATGAGACCTCAAAGCTTGCCTGCACAGTGACACACATCCTCCAAGAAGGCCACACCTACTCCAGTAAGGCCACACCTCCTAATAGTGCCCCTCCCTATTGGCCAAGCATTCAAACACATGGGTCTGTGGGGGTCATACTATTCAAACCACTACAGAGTGACAAGGGTCAAAGCCATTCATAACCCAGTTCCTTCCTCTGGTAATTGGTAATGATGTTTGGCTTCAAATGCCACTGAGATTTTCTAATTTGGTGAAAATAAAACACTCGTCAGGTCTCTCATGGCTCTCTGAATCTGCTCAGGGGAGAGGAGAATTGCTGATCACATGGCTAACTCCTAAGGTGCATAGCCCCTCCCTTGTCCTTCCTTGTTCTGTCGAGGCTGGATGTGAGACCCCAGCACAGATTGACTGCTGTCTGGATAG